CTAATTGTATTAAAGTTCCTTTTCATTAAAGTCTCATATGTTTTTGTGTTGATGCAGCAGATGGCAGAACCAATTTAGAGGAGGCAGGTTTGAGGGGTCTGGGGTACCCCTCTCCCTGCCCTGTAACAATTCCAGGCCTTCTTGAGTACAAGTGAATTTATAATTCCCTGAGAATGGAAATGATGGAGGGTAAGTATAGAAAAACTAGAAGGGAAGCTTCACAAGATCAAAAACCTTGCTCACCCTATGCCAAGAGCTGGAGGTGGGGGCAGAAGGTATTAACATGGCCATTACCCAGCTATAGGAACTAAGATCCCTAGGCACTAATGCCTAGATTGCAAAGCACAGACCCCAGCAGGTACCAGACTGACACAGGAAGTTTCAGGAGCGCAGACCTGAAGGTGAAGATATAGAGATTAAGAGCCATTGTAGAAATCTGGCCCTTTCAAAATCTACATAGTTATTCAAATCAATAGCAAATAAACCACTCCATGAAGGAGTGGGCCCCTCACAAAGAGAATACTGTATCAGGGCAATCTCTGCACTAAAACAGGGCAGCAGTCCTTCTGCCTACCTGTGCCTATGCAGATGCTTCTTTTCACCAACTCTCTGTCCCTCCACAGGGCAGCAGCCTTCCTGCCTGCCTGTGACCTGTCATGCCAGGACTTCTCTTTACTGACCTCCCTCAGCGGAGGCAGCTCTCCTCAAGGCCACCCACCTGTGGCCTTGCAGACCTCCCTTAGCAAACCTGTCCCTTTCGGGGCAGCCCTTTCTGCCCATTTGTGTCTATACAAGTGTCCTTTTCTTCTCTCCCTTTATAATAAACCTGTCCTTTTGGATATAACTAACATCTCTGTGTCCTGGAGAAACTCGCCTGGGAACTCGCTTGTGCTGGTGAAAGGGGAGCTCTGGTGACACCTTTCCCAGAGTGAACCCAAGTGATGTCATTTTTGGAGTCTACAGGTTTGGAGTGCAGGGTCCTTGGGTTCACTCTGGGAAAGGTTTCACCAGAGCTCCCGTTTCAGCGGCACGTGGTGAGTTTACCAGGCAAGTTTCTCCATGAGACAGAGACCTTAATTGTATCCAAAGGGCAGATTTATTAAGGAAAGGGACAGAAGAGTAAAAGAAACTTGTGTAGACACAAGCGGGCAGGAAGAGCTGCCCCAAAAGGGACAGATTTGCTAAGAGAGGCCTGCATGGTTTCAGGTGGCCTTGAGGAGAGCTGCCTTCACTAAGGGAGGTCAGTGAAGAGAAGTCCCAGCATGGGACAGGTCACAAGCAGGCAGGAAGGCTGCTGCCCTACAGCAGAGAGAGTTGGTGAAAGGTAGCAGCTGCATAGGCACAGGTGGAGAGATGGACTGCTGCCCAGTGCCAATGCAGAGACTGCGCTGATAATGTCTTCTTCTCTTTGGGAGGGGCTCACTCCTTGTGAGCCTTCAGTTACTTGCTGATTTTGGGCATCTGAAAGGGACCAGAGATTCTACAATCAGCTCAATCTCCATATCTTTACCCTTGGGTCTACGCTCTAAACACTCCCTATAGCAGTCTAATACCTGCTTGGATGTTATGCTTTGTAATCTAGGCATTGGAGCCTAAGGATCTTGGTTTCTATAGCTGGATCAATGGCTATGCTAATCTCTTCTACCCCCACCTCCAGCGCTTGCATTGTGTGAGCCAGGTTTCTGGTCTTGTGGCACATCCTTTCCAGTGTTTCTATTCTTGTCCTCCATTACAAGGACACGATTCTCTGAACATAACAAGTCCAAAAACGACATCAGTCTCCTCTCTGATTCCTCAATGCAAGTGATATTCCTATTATTTTGGATTTAGAGTTGACTAGAAGAGAGAAAACTAAACCAGTTTAGTGTTGCAACAGATAGGGGGCGGGGGAATTTTGGGTGGGACATGGGATGGTGAGAAGAGACTTGTCTTAGAAAAAAAGAAGGTATTTGAGCAAGTGGTTGGAACTGATGTCAGGCCTACAGCAGTAGAGCAGGCTAAATCCTCCCCAACCTACCTGACTCTCCTTGACCTGTGGGTGAGCCCAGCCTGGAATAAGCCCAGGGGCCATCATACATTCATTCTTCTATTATAGAACATGAGCCCTATCTTTTGAAAGCCATCTTCCCCCCATTATCCCAACAAATTTATCTTACCCTTTTAAGAAGACACCAAAACCAGGTTTTATAAAAACAATATTTTATGTGAAAATTGGAAAGTCATGCATATAAAGCATTCAATCCCAAAATAACAAAAATAACATTATGGTTTCATAGGGACCTCACATCCTCAAAATTAAAAATACGTGTTTGCCTTGGATTTTGCAAGGATCTTCTCAGTATCACAGTGATACTGTAATTTCAGGTTTTCAGGCCTAGTCTTCAGCCAGGAACAGATCTCAGGTTGCAGTGGCAGTGCTGAGCCCCAGCCACTAGACCACCGCGGGTTGGTGTCTCACGAAACCACAGCAGGAACTCCACAGACTCTCAGGCAAGCAAGCAAGAAGAGGCAGATTTGCTCAGAGAAAGAAAAAGTTTATTGAAGAGAAAAGGAACAGAAATAAAGTAGAACTCCCAGGCCTGTGGAACCAGAGCAGGGAAGGGCAAGGAAGCCAAAGTGGAGTCATGCCTCCGGGAATATAGACTTTTTTTCCCTAATTATTCTAAAGCTCCACCAGTCTCTGTGATTGCTCAGTTCTCGGTGGTCTCACTCACTGTCCTATTGTCTCTGTGCCCAGAACTAAGTCTCTGTGTCCCAGCCCTTAAGACTTTTCTTTATTGCCCTTGTTCAGGAACATCCACTGTCCCTGGTTGTGGGGTGTTTGATTAATGCCCCTTAAATGGCACATATTAAAAAAAAACTAGCAACAACAAATGTTGGCGAGGGTGTGGAGAAAAAGGAACTCTCCTGCACTGTTGGTGGGAGTGCAAACTGGTCCAACCACTATGGAGAGCTGTGTGGAGATTTCTGGACCTACTAAACATAGAGCTTCCATATGATCCAGCAATTCCACTCCTAGGTATTTACCCAAAGGACACAGAAACATCAATTCCAAAGAATACCTGCACCCCTATGTTTATAGCAGCACATTTACAATAGCTAAGCTTTGGAAACAGCCCAAATGCCCAAAAATAGATGACTGGATCAAGAAGATGTGGTACATATACACCATGGAATATTACTCAGCATTCAAAAAAGATAAACACATGCAATTTGCAGCAAGATGGATGGCACTGGAAGGGATCATGCTCAGCGAAATAAGCCAGAACGAAAAAGAAAAATACCGGATGGTCTCACTCATAGCAGGAATCTAGAAAACTTAAATAAGGGACCAGGAAAATGAATAACTATAAGAAAGTGAAAATCAAAATCAACAAAAAACTATGAACCAGAGACACTTTTTGGGTGGTGGGGGGGCAAGAGGGGAGGGATTGGGGTCAGAATGGGGGGGGGTTGAAATTGTGTGGGGAATATAAAAATAAAATTTATTATTAAAAAATAAATAAATAAATAAATAAATAAATAAATAAATAAAATGAAAGTTGTCCTTGGGCCTCCCCTGGTGGTGCAGCAGTTGAGCACTGGGCTGCAAAGCTGCCTGCAGCCTCTGCAGCGCTGGTTCAATCCCGGGCCACCGGGAGGGTCCCACATAGCATGCAGACCTCTCCTGCCGCCCGCTGCTCCCCTCAGCAGTGTACTTCATCAGTCTGTCTGTTCTGCTCCTCGCTCTGGCTCTGGTGGGTTCTCTCACCCTTCCGCGCTTCTGACCGTACACAGTGCTTGTATAAATAAATAAATCTTAAAAAAAAAAAAAAGGTTGTTGTCCTTATCTCTGGAGCTTCCCTTATTCCTTTTGCTTCCCTTTTCTCAGAGGCCTCTTTTTTTTTTTTTTTTTTTTGTGGGACCCTAGCCAGTGGCCAGGGAACGAACCAGTGCTTCAGAAGTTGTGGGCAGCCTCACAACCCAGCGCTCAACCGCTGCTCCACCAGGGGAGGCCCCAGAGGCCTCTTTAATTCTCCCCAAGCCCCCGCCTGCACTGCCCCCGAAGTTGCCTAATTATCCTTAACTTGCCCTGGGACTCAACAGTGAGGTAGTGAGGAGAGGAGCCTTCTGAAGTTTTTAGTTTAAGTAATTTGATATGTCCAAGAGTTGGGGGATTTGTATGTAACACTAGTGAGTCCCCAGTCCCAGAGCAAGTTAGAGATAATTAGGCTTCTTCATGGGTAGTGCAAGAGGGACTTCAGGAGAGTTAAGTAGGGCTTCAGAGAAGGGGGCAACAAATTCCAAAGGGGACTAATCAAACACCCCTGGGACTAAGGCAACAGAACATTCCAGAACAAGGATGATAAAGAAAAGTATGCTGAGATATGGCTGGGACAAGAGACTTAGTTCTAGGCAAAGAGACATTAGGGCAGTGAGACAGAACATTGAGAACTGAGCATTCACAAAGAGACTGTGGGGCTTTAGAATAATCAGGGAAAGAAGGTCTATATTCCCTGAGGCCCAACTCCCCTTGGCTTCCCTGCTGCTCCCTGACCTGGTTCCAAGGCCTGGGAGTCCCACTTTATTTCTGTTCCTTTTCTCCTCAATAAACTTTTTCTTTCTCTGAGCAGACCTGCCTCTTCTCCCTTGTTTGCCTGAGTGTCTGCAGAGTTCTTGCTGTGGCTTCATGAGACACCAGCCCATGGTGGTCTGTGGCTGGGACTCAGCGCTGCCCCTGCAGCCTGGGGTCCCTTCCTGGCTGGGAGACCAGGCCTGAAAACCTACAATTCCAGTATCACTAAAATAGGAGTTAAAAACCCACCCCGTTCCATGGAATATTAAATGAACCTATTTCACAACTTCCAAGAAATATAACACTACTTAAGAAAAGTGATGATTCACATTATTACGCAAAACTCATATTCCTTAAATTATAATAAAATATATTCTGAACTAAACGTGAAAAGGATAGGGAATATAAATTAGTTGTTTCCTTTTTTAAAAAATATTTACTTTATTAGTCTATGCATATAAGAACCGGGGTGTAGGCCAGAAGTGGGGAGGGAGGTGAGAGGATTCACCAGAGACAGAGTGGGGAGCAAAAGAGGTGGATATACTGAAATACACTGCGGAGGGGAGAAGCAGGCAAGGCAAGAAAGATCTGCTGCCTTAGCTTGATAGCACTGAGACTTCACCTCTGAGCCACCAGGGAGACCCTAAATTAGTTGTTTCTCAGTTCTGGGCTTGAGTTCAGTGCAGGAGTGAGAGGTCAAGGCTTCAGAGTTTGGGTTTTCTTGTTCAGGTGCTTTATGGAATCCATGACCCAATAATGCCTGGGGTTAGCACAGATCTCCTTGCCCCGTTTGGTCTTGAATCTGCACGGAGGAGGCACACAGTTAGAGAGAGCACCTGGAAAATTAAACCTGGGAATATCACCTACTTAAGGAATAATGCCACTATATTAACATGGTATAATGTTAATGCTGCCCACAGTGTGGAGGTACAATGCTGCCCACAGGGTGGAGGTATAATGCTGCCCACAGGGTAGAGGTATAATGCTGCCCTCAGGGTGGAGGAGGAAGGCACCTCAGGGGAAACAGCTACTTGACTGACAAGGGTGAAGCCTCTTGGCTCTAAGTTGGGGCAGAAACTGAAATAAGAAGCTGGCTGGAATGCTGGACTGAGAGGTCTCTGTTTTCTTGAATAGGGGTTTTCCACTAGGAAATTTGAGATTGTGTTAGAGGTGGTCTAAAAATGTGAGTCTCTGACTACAACTCGACCTGACAAAAAATGGTATCCCCTGCTGAAGGAAGGACATATGAGCATGGGCAGTGAGAATGATCATTGTCCACTCACACCACAGCTCCCATGGGACACTGGCCGCTGGTGATTCTGTAGTTATCCAGCATCTTCTTGGGTATCTTCCTTGTGTTGAATGAATAGCAGCAGGTGTTTCTACTCATTTGATCTGCAATGATACAGCAAAAGAGGTTCTTTCAGGTTGTGCTGGGTGTCTCTATTTATAAAATAAGGAACAGTAATCAGGAGGAATCAAAGGGAAGGGAGATTGGACCCCAAGTCCAGTCTCTCTTCTTTGTGACTTTCCATGAACTCTCAGTCTCATCCATGGTAAACAAACAAACAAACAAAAAGCAATAATGACAGGGAGAGAGGAACTGCTGATGGTTAGTCCTAGGGTGTTGTTAGGAGGAACTAATAGAATAATCTAATATTCTAGGACAAAGGGGACAAAGGGGCCCAGCTGTGGGGTTCTGAGCTATCTAGCTTGGACAAAAATTTCCATGACACCTGCTGCCTCTGTAGAGCCAGGTCTCTGGAAGCTGGACTGAATGAAGCGCTGTCCAGATTCCAGGTCTCATCCTTGTCCTTCCACCATTGAAGGAAATGGCCCCCAAACCCACCACCACAGGCTCACTGTCTTTGATCACCCAGTGCCCAAACACTGCTGAAAGGGGCCAGCCCAGAATATGCACTGAGGTGCACTCACAGAGTTGGAGTCCTGGAAGGAACAGGATTTGGGGTGCACAGCCTGCTCTTGCCCAGACTGCCCAGCAGCAGCTGTGTGATCAGCTCACATGCTTCTCTGACCTTCTCTGAGCTTGACTAGGAAGTGGTCAGAGTGAGACTGTGGGTACCCCTTCTGCTCTGGTGGCCCCTGCTAACCCAGAGATGAGGGGAGGTGTTTCAAAGGGGCAAAGAAAAGGGCTTACCTGTCTGGGCAGGCACCTGGGTGGTGAGGGTGGCAGCTGTGAGCAGCAGGCACAGGAGGGCTGCAGAGGCCTTCATGCTGGAGGGTGAGTGAGGATGGCAGCTGTAGCCTGAGAGTGGTCTGTGTCCCAGTTTGTCTCAGCCCCTCTGCCTGGTGGCTTCGTCTCTGGCTTTTATAGAAACGGGTTGTTTTGTGAATGATTCACAGGATACAGTAATACAGCTCATGAGTCATCATCCTACCTGTAAAATGAGAGAGAAAGTGGAAATCGAAACTGGCCTGTTTCCCATTTAAGATCCCAAATGTAGCGGAAGTAAGGGCTACTACTTGAAGGCTACAGTGGGTGATCCATGGCTTCTCTGAAACTTTTTACTTTTTTTAAAGTAAAACACTTAATGTAGAAAAAGGAAGGAAGTCAAGATACCAAGAATGAAGAGATATAAGGATTTCCCATTTTTCCTTTCAGCCAGCATCCCCAGGACTCGTCTCCAGAAAGTGGTCCAATGTTCTTGGACCATTATTTTAGACCATTAAGATGACCTAAAAACCCCTTCACTACTTTAAATCCTCTTGGCTTTTCTAAAACCCAGAATGGGAGAGAATAATAGAAGATTAGCAGAAAAATAGAATTCTAAATATTCCTAGAATAATAATACTGAATACCTAATAGATAACCTAGTAATCTGTTATAACCTCCCATCTGGAAACAGTGACTTAATAACAATTGCCTTTGAATATGGGGATTGCCTGGTCTCAGACAGGCAGTTCTTGCTTAGAGTTCTTTACATTTTCACAGGTGGATGTGTTAGGGGGAAATGATGTCCTGAGCTAATCCCATACAGGCTTTGTGGACTCCACCCCCACTCCAGACTAAAGCCATCAAGACATTGGGAAAGACAAATCCTGTCACCACCAAAGGGAAGGTGGCTGGGACCTGAGGGTGGAGTTAAGCAGCCAGGTTGGGTATAAAAACCAAACACGTGGGCCTTGGGGGGCTCGCTCTTGCTCCCCTCCTGGCTTCATGGCTCCTGGCTGGCAGCCAGCTCTCAGAGTGCCATTTGGGATTCCAGATCGGCGGATCAGGTAGGACGCATTTAAAACTTTGTCTTCCACTTTTCTCCCTGAGTTGTACATTTCCTCTTTTCCCCTTCCCTTGTCAATAAACCTTTTATTAACCTTTCGCGTGTGCCTGCAGTAGAGCATTGATAAGTCCTTTTAAGCCCGTCCCACAATCAGGCACCCCGTTTTGTATTGGGGTTGCTCTATAACAGATGATGCCTGGGTTGGGGTCACCTCAAGGCCAGCCCTCAGTGGCTGATGTCTAGGCTGGGAGAACTCAAACAGCAGGAGGTTTGACTAGATGGAAACCTCCCCACCCCCAGTCCCCACTGTGGATATTTTACGTGATGGCTTAAATGCTCCCAGATTCAAGGCTAGGGAACATAGACTGTCAGAACTGCAAGGTACATAAAGATGGAACTGTGCTTTTCAAAATATATGAGTAAGGAGCCTCCTAATCCCCCTTCCACCTACACACTGTTCAGAGTTCTATGGAATAGATTTTGAGAACCACTAATCTAGTTCCCCATGTCAAACTGATACCAAATGCGGGCCTCAGTTTCCCTAAGCCAATAAAAGGAAACTATTTGAGGAAAAGGAAAATGTTTAATTTGTTTACAAATGAGGAGGGCAGGAGACTCATGTCTGAAAGACCACTGTCCTGGTCTTTGGCAGAGTGCAGGGGTGTTTATACAAAGGGGAAAAAAAGGGGGAGATGGGCATGGGCCTGCAAAGGGGTGGGGGAAAGTTGTCAGCATAGAGATGGGCCAGTGCCATTTTGTTTTTTCAACAACCTTTTAACTCCCTTTTCCTTGGAATGGAAGAAGACAAACCTGTCAGACAAGGGGGCAATTGCAAGAGATGGGGGAAGACAAACTTACTTATCTGAGAAATCAAATCTGTCAAACAAGATTGGAAAGGTGTGGAGACAAACTTGTTAATGCTTTTCTGAGAGAGGAGTCATTTATAACTGCATCACAATCTCCACTCTCAGTTATGAACTTCCATTCCTATGGGAGAAAGGGGCATAGATAGCATCTTCTGGCTGCTTCCTGCTGAATGGGGGCTTTGTGGAGGGAATGTATTACAGAAGGCCTGTGCTTGTTGGTGCCACAGTTCCTTGCATAATGTTAAGGCCTTGGTGGCAGTGTGGCAGCAATAGGTATACAACATATCATAGTCCTAAATGTAATAAGGATAACTTTTTCCCTTCCTCAAGATGATGACATTTAGGACACAGCCCTAACTGAAGAAGACAGGAAACTAATATAAATAGTTACTGAGACATAATTTTTCTCTACCTTAATCCCAGTTTTATAAAATAGTAAACTAAATCTAATTTAAATAATTTTGCCCATATTTGCATAAACTCATTGGGTAGAATAAACAAGCAGAATGTTGTTGGCTTTGTCAAAAACTCCACAGGGCCTAGAGTGAGATTTTTAACACCCAGTCCATGCAGGCTTCATCAGTCAGTCTTAACAGACTTCACCTGAGATTTCCTCTTCTCAAGGTTCCAACAGCTTTTTCCAGGGTTTTTCCAGTCCTGCCAATGGAGGCAAACTTCTTCACCTTTCATGGAGATCTTTGGAGCCCGATAAGCAAGGTGACAGGCTCTTTTTGGCTCAGCTCTTCTCAGCTCAGCTCAAATTCTAGTTCCAGATGAATGTCAAAGCCTTGTAATAGAACATGTTTTCAACTTTCTAGTTTAAGGAGAAATAAAGAAAATTCCCTATTGAGATTAGGCAAAGATAGACATATTGTCCTGAGAACTACAAATATTGCCTACAAGTTTTTTTGGGGGGATGAAGAAAGAGAAAAGCAAATCTTCCAGTTTGCTCATAAAAAGATACAAATTGCCACTGCTCAGATCATAGCCCAGTTTAAAGACAAGCTCTGTAGAGATAAAAAAAAAAGCATTAAAAACAATTTTTTTTTTAAGATTTATTTTACTATACAAGAACCAGGGTACAGGCCAGATTCGCAGGAGGGTGAGAGGATTCACCAGAGACAGAACACGGTACAGAAAAGGTAGACTGATGAAATACACTGCTGAGGGGAGCAGCGGGCGAGACAGGAGAGGCCTGCCACGCCATGTGGGACGCTTGCTGGCTGGCCGTGATCGAACCGGTACTACAGAGGCTGGGGACAGCTTCACAGCGCTGCACTCAACCACCTACGTCACCAGGGGAGGCCCAAAAATCAATATTTTTTAAAAGTTATTAAATATTATACAAATCCTTCTCAGTGTACTTTTCCCATGTATTAAGTCTCGATCATCTATTGGTAATTTTCATAAATCCAATTTTTCTATAGTCTTGGTAGGTCTTCTCAGATCCAAAACATATCTATATATGTTGCATATATATTGTCAGATTGTCAGTCCCTTTTTTTTTTCAATAAACATTATTTGTATTATTTCTTTCACTACATAAACAGCTGAATCATGTCTTTCTTTTTTTTTTTTTAAATAGAGGCATGCTTTATTTATTTGTTTGCTGGTTTGTTTGTTTTGTTTATACATGCACTGGGTACAGTCAGAAGCGCAGGAGGGTGAGAGAATTCACCAGAGCCAGAGCGGGGAGCAGAACAGGCAGAAGGACCGAAGTACACTGCTGAGGGGAGCAGCGGGCGGCAGGAGAGGTCTGCGCGCCATGTGGGACCCTCCTCCGGTGGCCGGGGAGCAGCCGGGGATCGAACCGGCGCCGCAGAGGCCACGGGCAGCTTCACAACCCAGCGCTCAACCACTGCGCCACCGGGGAGGCCCTGAATCATGTCTTTCAACATAGAATAAAAGGAGTGCTAGCAATTCCCATTACTGTATATTTGGTATAAACCAGAAAAATAATTCAATTTGCAACCTAGATGTAAATTTTCTTATTTTGGGGGTAAAATAATCCAATTTCTCATAGTAATAATATAGCAGTTTGTCCGGAGCATGCGCAGTGTTGCACAACACGTGCCATCAATTAAGTTTCACTTTACCGTTTCGCCTTCTGAGAAACCACAGGTTTTTCCTGTTAATCAAATGAGACTGGGAGGTATGATGGGAGAAGCTACCAGGATATAAGAAGAGAACCACGAAAGAGTAAGGGGAGTTACTGCGAGAGGAGCAGAGAGAAGGTCAGGAAAGGTAGAAAGACAGGGAAAAGAAAGACATGGAAAAGTAAGAGAAGGAAAAAGAAAAATAAAGAAGCAACCGCTAGCGTCAAGTTGTCTCAAGCCCCTCATTTCAATCCTCAGCCCTTCTCTTTTCGTGCCTACAAATCCCATGCGTGGGGACAGCAGTTGCAACCTGGTCAATTTGCATATATGAATCAGTTAAACTCATTCCTTAATAACAAAGCTAACACAGAGAAATTACATTAGAAACCCTTGATTGAAGGTTTGGCTTAATATTCATTTTTGTATTTTATTTTATTTTATTTTTTAATTTTATATATTTTTTACATCATGTTTCATTTTTGCACAATGTATGTATTTTCATCTTGGTTAAGTAGTCCTCATATAATTCCCACCATACTTGTTTTGATCCTACTCCCTTCTTCCCTTCTCCCAAGCCCTGTAGTGTGTCTCTGGTTTATAGTTGCTTGTTAATTTTGATTTTTACTTTATTATAATTAGTTGTTTTCCTGGTCCCATATTTAGGTTTTCTAAATTCCTGCTATGAGTGAGACCATCCGGTATTTTTCTTTTTCTTTTTCTTTCTGGCTTATTTCACTGAGCATGATCCCTTCCAGCTCCATCCATGTTGCTGTAAATTGCATGTGTTTATCTTTTTGATTGCTGAGTAATATTCCATGGTGTATATGTACCACATCTTCTTGATCCAGTCATCGATTTTTGGGCATTTGAGTTGTTTCCAAAGCTTAGCTACTATAAATAGTGCTGCTGTAAACATAGGGGTACAGGTGCCCTTTGGAATTAATGTTTCTCTGTCATTTGGGTAAATAACTAGGAGTGGAATTGCTGGGTCATATGGAAGCTTCATCTTTAGCAGATTGAGGAATCTCCACACAGCTCTCCATAGAGGTTGGACTAGTTTACACTCCCACCAGCAGCGCAGGAGAGTTCCTTTTTCCCCAGAGCCTTGCCAACATTTTGTTGTTGCTAGTTTTT